AACTTATTTGTTTTTCATTATTTTAATATGTTCAGTGTATATGGTTTATAGAAGTTCTCAGGGGTGTCCGTCAATAATATTCGTTTCTACAGTAATTTATTTATAATTTCGAATCTAGGAAACAATTTTTCATGATTATTGGTCTTTAGGACAAACATGTATGGAAGCTGAGCAATCTCCTTTAATACTTAATATATTAATGATATTGAACGCTTTTCCTTTATAATATAAAAACCGCACTTAGTTACAATACACAACGCAATTCCTTGATAATTTCATATAATCTAATAATATAATTTATATATAATTCATACATATTAAACGCTAATAATATTTGTAAAACGCTATTATTTAACACTATAAACATATAATCGATTTATAGTTTCCTCTTCATGAGTTATATCTCATATTTCACGCATCCCATGATTCCTCTTTATTTTCTATTGAAAGTTCTAGGAACTTCCAAGTCGGGGAGCATGGTTGGGCGTTTTATTATGTGTGAGTTTTTTTACATCAACAATGTTCGCATTTGGATTTGCAATATGCTCGCTGACGCCACCTAGTGTTCGATCTGCGAACCTGTCCAGATGGCAGATATGTGGGTACTGCGAATATTGTTATGCGCGGGTACGCGAACTTAAATACGGTCGTTAACTCGTCATTTTCCAACGGCCGCTCTCTGTTATGTTATCGCGTAGAAGATTTCAACCGCACCCAGAGGAAGAAAGAAAGAGCTGCATCGGCTGTGCCCACGCTTGCAAGCTCGATAAGGAGGCGGAGAGACATCCAGGTGAGTCGTTGGTGACATTGCGCCTATTCAATTTCCACTTGTTTCATTGTTGATGTTTCTTTGTGTCTAAGCATTTCGTACATAATAATTCGTCCGCCGCACATACATATATTGTCAAACCCGCATCCAGTGGATGGCTATTTACACGCCATACCACCACCAACTACTCACCTGGATGTTTCTCTGTTTCCTTAAGGGACTTGCAAGAGTGGGCACAACACAGGCAGCTCTTTCCTTCGTCCTTTGGGTCTGCGGTTGTAGAATTTTCTACGCGATTTCAGCGAAAATATGCGATGCGAGTTTATATGTGTGTACACGACCGTTCGGTACCAAGCGCGTAACAGCAGAGAGAGGCCCTTGAAGATGACGACCCAACGACCGTTAATAATATTTGAGTACCCGCGCATAAGAATATTCGCGGTACCCACATATCTGCAATCTGGACAGGTTCGCAGATCGAACACTGGGTGGCGCCAATGAGCATATTGCCCATCCGAATCCCAAATGCGAACATTGTTGATATAAAAAACTCGTACATAATGAAACGCCCAACCAGGGAGGAAGGGGTCGACGAAGTGTGACAAGGGGTATAGTGCAGTCATTGAAGCATTATTGGTCCGAATTTTTTTTTTACTGTGAACCGAATTGCATACAATTTTGGAATTAGGTTCATCTTACCCTTAACTTCAAAAGTGAAAATGATTTGAACTCCGCAACCACCCTGGGGGTGATTGCGGAGTTGGTGAATTATTGAAGTTATACTTCTTTAGGCGCGTTATGAAAAAATGATGAGAGTGAAATTTTAAGATGCGCGCGCATCACTGTAACACAAAAATGTCGCTTTAGCGACCAACTGCATGCTGTTACTTTTGTGTTTACCGCACATTAAGAAAACCTACCAACAAAATAGAAATAGAATCTCTATTTAGTGGGTGCTAACGACTGCATTGTGAAGGCCTATCAAAAGTATTTATTAATCTGGAACAACGGAACCAAAGCGCGATTCAGGAGACTACAGCGCCATCTCTTGACCATTGGTGTAGTAGAACCCAAAAACCACATCTTTATTTTTTGTAATAAAGTAACAGTTATAGGTATTCATATTTATAATATCAAAAGTATTTATTAATCTAGAACAACGGAACCAAAGCGCGATTCTGGAGACTACAGCGCCATCTCTTGACCATTGGCGTAGTAGAACCAAAAACCACATATTTATTTTTTGTAATAAAGTAATAGTTATAGGTATTCATATTTATAATATTTATCCACATGTTTCTAGTTTGTATATTCAGAATACGTGTTTGAGTTTCATACAAGTGCAAATCACATATGTTCTAATAAATTATATTCATTAGCGATTTTAATTGAATATTTTGATTATTTATTTATTTTTTCAAATTAAAACTGAACTTTATTGACTGTGTCCTTTTCCAGACTTTTTATTAATTTATTGTAATTAATTATTTGTATGCAATTAAAAACTAATTTTAAACAATGCCAAAGAAGGATAACTTCTCACGGGCCTACATAAGTACACGCACCCATTTTTTTTTTTTTCAAAATAACCTCGGATATCGATAGGAAGCCTAATTTTAAGCAAAAAATCATCTATAAAGTTTTTCCAAAACTTCAATACTTTTCAAGATATTGGCAATTGAAAATTCGAAAGTTTTTCCCGTTTTTCATCGTTTTTTTGCAAATATCTCCAAAAATTTAAGTTTTATCGAAAATTTTATAAATAACAAAATTGTAGCAGGTAAAACAATGCACAATTTGGTTTTTTATAAAGTATTCTAAGTGCAATATTAAGCTAGATATTAAAGATCAAAGCCGTTTTTTATTTTGTCTGAAATTTAATCGATGTGGTCAATGCCATCTAGCGGCGAGCAGATGCATTTTATGCATTCTAATACAAAAGGGTTTTGTAGTGCTTGAAATAAGCTTTAAAATGAGAACTATTAAAAGTCTTTTGCACGTAAAATAAGTTTAACTTTTCATAATAAAGTTAATTCTAGGCGGCTAAAAATGGTGCCATTTTCACCAAAATTAAAATTAATCGTATTCCGCCTAGAATTAACTTTATTATGAAAAGTTTGATAGATAGTATCAGTTTGGCTGCTTCAGGACCCATATTTTTCAAGAAAGTCACGATTAAAAGAAAAACCAAAATTTCAAATTTTTAAAAAACCCACTTTTTTTTTCATTATATCTCAAAAATGACGTCAAATAGGTATAAAAGTGTACGATTTAAAAATTTAGATATTTTTCTGACAAACAAATTGGTTTTTTGATTTTTCTGTCAAAATAAAATTGACGGAGATATGATTGTTTAAAGAGCCCGTGGCAGCGCAATCACAGCCTCTCTTAAGCCCTTTAACCCTTCACCGTTTTAAAAAAAGGTTTTTTTAATATATATTGCAATGAAGGATGTTGTAGCTCTCTTAATTACCTTTACAATGGTTTTACATAAATTGTGATAGCATGAAAATTGAAGGAGGAGAAGTCCAAAAACTTATCATATTTTTTTCTACTTAGTAACTGAAAATTTCGGAGTGTGAATATTTGGAGCAATGTGAAAGTATGCAGTATAATAGAGACCCACAACTATTGTAATGTGTATATATATACATAATATGGCTCATATATTTTGGAAACGTAGGCATGAATACATACCAACGTTCTTATATGTATATATAACACATTTCATCATCATCATTCATCCAACGGATGGGGGGTGGGTCATGAATGACGGTTTATTAAATCCACTTAAGTCTGTAGATCCACCCGCACCACAAGAACTGCAACTGAAAAAAAGGATGAAGAGCGTCTTGCGGATGCAGAAAAGTTGGTCTGTTTTGTAATAGTACCTATGGAACGTGCAGTGGAGATAACTGCCAAAATAGCCCTCCAATTCAGCCAGAAGATGTTGAATGTGACAGCGACTCCGACATTGAGTCATGAATAATAATATTATATTTTAATAATAATAGTACAATTTTATATAATTACTAAATATTTTATTCAATAAATAGCATTTTTTTACTCTAAATTAAATTATTTTTAAATATGTAATATATATATATATATATATATATGGGTTGAAAATGATTTTAATATGAGGTAATTATGTTAGAAAATACTTTACAATTTCATCACTTACTATTAGACATGTTTTCTAGCGATAAAATGGCTCAATGTCAATTTTTCCATTAAGGGGTTGTTTACACCCCTTAAAAATAATAGGCGGAGTTCAGATCATTTTCACTTTTGAAGTTAAGGGTAAGATGAGCCTAATTCCAAAATTTCATGCAAATCAGTTCACAGTAAAAAAATTCGGAGGTAAGGCCGTATTTTTCGCTTCAATGACTGCACTAGTAGGGGTTCCTAAGTGGCGTCACATTACAAAATCTAATAAATAAATAAATATTTCCAACACTCACGACAATTAGCCTAGCCCCAAAGTAAGCACTCTAGAGCTTGTGGTATGGAATACTAGGTTAACGGATAGAATACATATACTGATACATTTATAAATATATTTATTTAGAAATACCAACAAAATTAATTACCCTAGATACACCACGTGCGCTCAAAATGTGTCCCAATCAAGAATGTTTGAACACCACTCAAACTCTTCTTGGTTGACAGTCACGCGGAGACCGTTGGAAAGTCAACATGCCACAGAGCTCCGTGAAAAAATACGAATTAATATTTGTAGTACGTAAAGTAACGTAAAGTGACCTTTTTTCAACAGGTATCTAAAAATGATTGTTAATTTAACGCATTTGAAGCAAATATTGTTCTAATACTTACTATAAACACCATATAGCCGTCTCTTTTCCTCGTGGTCCGTAAATGTTATTTTGCTAACAGCGCATTCCGATTTGCGCGTAAAGTCAAAGAAATAAGGTATATTTCTTCCGCATATAGCAATAAGTCGTAAAATTTTACGACCTTGCATTTCCAATTGGTATAAATCTTTGACGCATGCGTTTTAATTATGGCCTTATACAGTATGCGTTAGAGGTGACTTTCAGATTGTTTGTTTAAATAATGCCTTATATTGTTTTTGACTACGCGATCATCTTACGGAGCTCCGTGGATCGTCTTATGTACTTTTTGGACAGGTTTCGACCACGATTTTGTTCATGTTGGTGTAACTAGGGTATTTAATATCGTTGATTAAAGAGGAGAACGTTTGTAATAGGTTCCGTAAAATCCTGCCTTGCGCTTTCACTCCGCATCCCAATCAGCTGACAAAGGAGTCCAGGAAACCGCCATCGAGACTCAAGACCCCTCCACAAGCCATCAAGGTGAGTTCTAAAATCAGTACATAACACTACACATAGTCCATACAACGATGTTTCGTATTGCCATGGAGGTTAAAGATAAGGAGAACGATCGCTGTAGCAAAATAGTGTCCCAGAAATATGGACAAAATAAGTGAGGCGCTGCGATCGCTAAATTGTCTCATTAAAAGCGGGCTAATTTGAAATGACCAATGCCGCGAAGAAAATTTATACAATATTCAACTAACTTTATCTACTTGTACACATAAACAGCTAACTTCACAGATACTACTTATCGACGGCAGCACGGCTGGTGGCAGAAAAATGAACTATAAATTATAAAAATTTTCGGGGTCAGGCGGGCTAATGCTTTAGTACGTAGCGATCGTTCTCCTTCTCTCTAACCTCCGTGCATATTACTTAAAAAAAACATGAAAACTTGAACGCTCTTATTGGTTTTATTTAACTAATAGATGAAACATGATAAACAGCTATACCTATCCGTTACATTATCATAAACGGTCATGTTACTTCAAATAATTAATCAAAACCATTAGTACATTTCAAGTACAAACTTTTCAAAACATGAAAGATTGTATATATTACTTAAAATGATGAATTAAAAATATCAGTAAATACATATCCATTACTAATATACTTAATTGAACGCTCGCACTATTTAAAAACAACATTATATACCACCTTTTCACAGCACATGGGCTTTTATAACTAAAAATAACACATTAAAATCATCGACACATATCCACCACATCCAAGTTGCACATGTAAAACTTCAGTACACATCCAATACATACCTTGAAAAAAGACTTTTACTTGTTTCAAAATTCATATTGAATAAATTTCATAAAAAAGACGTTTGGCGTAGTTATTGAAAGTTTATAATATTTGTTTGTCTTTACGTACTGCTAAAATCAAAAACACAAAGGGATACAACTGAAATTGCAAATTGATGTCTTACCGCCTTATTCCAAAACGCGGGCTAAAATTAATCTTGGTTTAAACCTAATGTTGTCTCTCTTGTTTTAAGGATAAAATCTTGTTTTAAGTGACAGCATCACTTTAAGTCCCTGCTTAACTTTAGTCTACGTTTTGTAGTAAGATGGTAAGGGTTTAGTAGGACGCAATGACATATTTTATCTAATAACAATTTCGCGTTACATAATTCATGGTAAAATAAATAAATAATCTTCCAAAAAGTTGTCATTCTGACCCTAATTAATCATGATTATATTGCTTGAACTTTTTCCCAATAGTGGAAAATTCTTCTTTAGCAAAAACTCATCTTTTGAAATAGTTAATTATAAATCTCACTCTAGTTTAATACACCATCATGTCGCCACATTTGGCACTAGTACAGTCAATCTGTCGAAAAAAATATCGTTTCAGTGAAAAAAAAACCTAAAGGGTAAGTCTTGTTTTTTCTGTTGCCAAATGACGTCAGTAAGCCACCTTGGTGATGGGCATGTTCAACTCGTAGGCGTTTTTTGAAAAACTCAAAAAAACCTTCAAATAATTTTTGAAACGCATTTTTCTTGTTTTGTATGCATTTTAGAAACTTTTTTTTCGACCATAATTGTAGAGGGCGTTGAGTACTACAGTTTATGTCATTGTTGCAATCTCCTACAACAAAAAATGCGCATTGTAGGTGGCGCTAAAGTCTCAAAAAAAGTGTTTTTTCACTTTTTCACCCTGAACATATCATTTTAATGGAAAACTTTAAATCGCAAAGTTGTTTCGTACATAATTACAACAACTTTTGTAAAACAATTTTTTTGTATTACTTACCGTTTTCAAGTTATAAATTGCGCAGGTATGAAAAATCCAATAGAGCGGTTTTGGGCAGTTCAAGTACACATTTGCAGTGCACATTTCAATGTACGTTTTACTATTTTTTATTTTTTTTCATGATTGAAAAACCAAAAAAAAATAGTAAAACATGAAAAAAAAAAGTTTTTTTTATTTTTTTCATGATTGAAAAAAGAATAGTAAAAACGTACATTGAAATGTGCACTGCAAATGTGTACTTGAACGCCCAAAACCGTTCTATTGGATTTTTCATACCTGCGCAATTTATAACTTGAAAACGGTAAGTAATACAAAAAAATTTGTTTATACAAAAGTTGTTAGTAATTATGTACGGAACAACTTTTCTATTTAAAGTTTTCCATTAAAATGATATTTTCAGGGTGAAAAAGTGAAAAAACACTTTTTTTGAGACTATAGCGCCACCTACAATGTGCATTTTTTGTTGTACGAGATTGCAACAATGACATAAATTGTAGTACTCAACGCCCTATACAATTATGGTCGAAAAAAAAGTTTCTAAAATGCATACAAGACAAGAAAAATGCGTTTCAAAAAATTTTTGACGGTTTGTTTGAGTTTTTCAAAAAACGCCTACGAGTTGAACATGCCCATCGCCAAGGTGGCTTACTGATGTCATTTGGCAACAGAAAAAACAAAACTTACCCTTTAGGTATTTTTTTCACCACTCAACCTACAGATTGACTGTACTACACTGGTTGTATCCATGTTGTTGTTTTTAAAGGAAGTAAACAAAAATGTGGCCCGCCTAAAGGAAAGGGGCCGCCATAGTCTATGAAGCTTGCAATACTAAAACTATTACTTGCACCGTGTAGAAGTTTCTAGATTACTAAAGAACGGACGGGCGACAACCTAACCTAATCCAACCCTATCCTCACCCCGTGGAGCCCTCTGAGTTAAATATCCTCACCTAACCCTATAGTAGTAATAGTATCCTAACCTTTTTTTAACGGAGAGAATGCGTTTATGCGCCATCCCCGCCCACTGGGCTAGTGAGTGGGGGTGTGTGGGACTCTCCCGACTAAAGAGATAGCCAGGAATACTCCACTAAACACCCCGGGAACTTCGCCTCGTCATAATTGAGCGGGCCACGAGCATGCGCAGGGCGCTGGCTAGTTAAGTATCCTAACCTAACCCAAACCTATCGTTACCCCGTTGAGCCCTCTGGGTTAAGAATCCTAACCTAACCCAACCCTATCCTCACCCCGTGGTGCCCTATGGATTAAGAATCCTAACCTAACCCAACCTATCCTCACCCCGTGGAGCCCTCTGGGTTAATAATCCTAACCTTTTTTTTTGTGACGAGGGGAAATGCAGTTACGCACCATACCGTGTCGCTGACTAGATGCACGACGTGTGTGGGACTCGCCGGCACGGGAAACAGTGCCGACCCTACTCAAGCAGGACCAGTGCGGAAGGCCACACTGATCCTACTCCACTAAAACCCCCCTCCTACGCCCATATGGGGGCTTCTCAGGATCGACGCACCTTAGTGTGCGCCACTTCACTGGGACGGGCCTGCCCGGGGGCGTCCCAGTGAAGTGGCGTAGCCATCCGCCGCCCCCATCCACTTGTCGGATGGGGGGATGCGGTACGGCTCCGACACGAGCACCACGTCCACACCCCACTCCGCTGCCACCTGACACAGGAGGTCCTGTGCCCCAGCGGAGTGACTCGCATTCAGTTGTAGTATTTTCCCCGATGTCCTATAGGGCATTATTAATGGACATCGGGGTTACTTCAAGAGCCTAAGCCGGCGGTTCGCGGCTGGGCTCTGCGCGAGGTGTTGCCTGTGACGCATCCTTGCGGGGCACCCCTACAGTAAGCAGGCGGCCCCTGACCAGCGGGGGGTTGCATTTAGACCCCGCCATCCGGTGCCCGGCTGCCAGTCCTCTGTCCGCGCACACGTCGCAGTGTGGCGGAGCAGAGCAGCCCTTGGCTTTGTGCCCCTCCTTGCCACAGCGGTAGCACAGCCCGCTGCGGTCCTTTTTGGAGGGGCATTTGGCCCCTGGGTGCCCGGGTGCCAGGCACCTATGGCATCTCATTGGGCGCCCTTCCAGTAGCCGGACCGTCGCCTCAAACCAGCCAACCTGCAGCCGCCCTTCTTTCACAATCATGACGACCGCCTCCACCGGACATGAGACGATCGCCGAACCCGCCCCTCTTTGACCGGGGGAAATTGCCCCGACCCTTATGGTCTCAGGGGGGCAGCCGTACTTATTTGCCAGGGCCGCCCTCAGCTCCTCGGGTGTTGTGGCTTCATCCAGCCCCGACACCCGGACGTCCACCGTCTTAGGAGGCCGAGAGACCTTAGCTGTCTCGCCTAAGGCCTCTCCCACTTTGGCCGCCAGTTTGTCAGCCTGGGCCGCCGTGGTCCCGGACGGGAGCTCGATGATGCGAGCTCCTGTGACTGACGTCCGGAACTTCCCTGGGCCAATGCCCAGCTCCCCCCAGTTGACGGACTGCCTGGCCTTGGCCAGGGCATCCTTATAGGTGGCCCCCTCGGCCACCGCCTCCGGTTTGAGGGCCACGACCACCGCCAGCGTTTTGGGTGGCTTCGGGACCTTATTGGCCTTTTTTCTTCTGGCTTTCTTCTTTTTGGGCTTTTGGGCCGCAGTGGTGGGTACTTGGGCCGGTGCCGGTGCCTTCTTTGGCTTTCCCCCCTTTCCCACTGCTACCCACTCTCCCTCAGCCGCCGGTGGCGCGCTCCCGCTTAGAGTCGGGTCAGCCGCCGGGCTCTCCTTCCTCCCCGTAGGAGGAGTGGGAGTGGGAACTGCTGGAGTTGCAGTCTCCTTTTTTTTACTCTTTCCCTTGCCCTTACCCTTGCCTTTGCCCTTGCCCTTGGCCTTCTCGGGCATTTTGGCGGGCGGGGTAAGGGTGGTAGGGGCATTCGCGCTACCCCCAGCCGGCCGCGCAGTCGTTGGCGGCTTCTGCGCTGCGGCTTTTGTATCCGCAGTCAAGGGCGGGCGGCGCAGTCTCTCGGAGGTGGGCAGCTGCCGGCCATCGAACTCCAGGCCCTCCAGCCTGGCCTGGAGCATGTTACTGAACTGCTGCACCAGGGAGCTCTGTTCCCTCCTTAACTCCTCCATCTCCCTCCTTACTAGAGAGACATCCTACCCTCCGGAGCCCCGAGAGGTTTCGACAACAATTGGCGCCGCTGTTTCCTTGCGGCGCCCTACCCTTGACTCTTCGAAGGCCCGTCTGAAAGCGTCGAGCTCAGCGGTGACTTTGCTGAGCTCTTCTTGCAGGCACTTGTTGTCCGCCTGCAACCGCTTCACCTCCTCTGACGTCTGCCTGTTTGCCAGAGCCTCGACCACCGCCAGCAGGGAACCAGACTTAATCGCCTTTTGGCACGTCCATTTCAGGTTCCGCGATTTCTTGGTCACGACCCTGACCTCCTCAAAATGTTTCCTTTACCAGGGCATCCGTCGTCATCCTGCCCGGTTCGAATTTGGCCTCGCCTTCACCGTCGCTCTCAGCGTCTGTGTATTCGATGTCGGAGTTAGAGTCCAGGCCACACTCTAACTCCTTGCGGGCCTGAGCCAACTCTGCCCCATGCGACTTCCAACTACCGCTGCCTCTTGCACCCCTATTGCCTCCCTTCCCTTTAAAAACTTTCGGGTGAAAGTCTTTCGGCGGAGGGTCTTTCAAAAACACCGCCACTCTCCTCTTCTGACCTGCGACCGTACCTCTCTCCGTCGCCAGGTCCATCTCCGAGCTCGCTCTCGAGCACGTCCCTGAGCCCAGGCTCACCTGCCTCGAGGCCTGACCAGACTTGCTCCTGGTCACCCTTCTCTCCACCTGATTCGGAGACAACTCCGACCTCTCCGAAAACTCCGGCCTATCCAGGCCCTCCAAACTCGTAACAGATTTCACACTGGAGATCCGAGCTAATGGCGAGCCCGTAGTCAACGGGATCGTATGACCGAGTGTCAACTGACACGTAGCAGTCTTGGCCTCTCCCAGATACGTGAGACCAGCCACCGACCGAAGTCGACGGGAGGGATTCTCCGTCCTTGACGGTGCCCTCCTGGGTTACTATATTTTTAAGATCTGCTGGCATGTTCGTTGTTTCGTTTTTTGACGGGTGACGACTCCCGTATATCTCCCACTCACCCAGTGCTAGGGACCAGACTCCCTCTGGCCACTCAACCCATCACCGCACTTCAAGCTTGGGTTTGGGGCTTTTTATTTTAGGTTTGCTCCTCTCAGGCTGGACCTCCGTGGCCCAGCGCCCTGGCCCTCTCAGTGAGGGTAACAGGTTTCCCGACGGGGTCCTGTCACACAGGGTCCCCGCCGCGAGACAGCTCGGAAGCTGTAAAACCTCCTCCAGTCTCGCCTACGCAGGGCGAGTTCGCGGCCACAGGCCGCCATCCACCGACCAAGAGGTCCGCTGGCCCCCCAAGGGGGGGGGGGGGGCATCACCAACGGCGCAACCGCCCCGGGCAAAAACGCCCCCTCCACGATTTTTTATTGAGGTTGTCTCCTCTCGACCCGGGCAAAAGCCCCGAAAGTCCCCGGCCCCTCAGTGGAGTAACGGGTGGCCCGACGTGCCCCCGGAGTCCGGGCGGCACGCCGCGCAGCCGCATCCCGCAAACACTCCGCGATCGCGGAGCGAGTCGAGTTGCTGTCCGCGCCGGCCGAAGCCGGTTCCCCCCCCATATCTGGGGGGCGTTCCCCTATCCACAACCCGGGAGACGCGTCCGGTAGCGATACTGCGGAAATCGCTTCCCTCTCCACAGAGAGGGCGGATAATAATCCTAACCTAACCCAACCCTATCCTCACCCCGTGGAGCCCTCTGGGTTAAGAATCCTAACCTGACCCAACTCTGGGACCTTGCTCACAGACTTCTTGTTTTCCGAAAATTTTAAATGTCAGGTCGCCCATCCGTTCTATTATAATACTCGAGAAACATCTCACCTGTTCTTTCATACTTATTGTAGTGTGAAAACTTTGCATACATCTATGATTAAGTTCGCCTCTAGCTATTCTAGTATAAGTCTTATAAGATTATATTAATATCTAATTGATACTGAAGCATTCACAGCCTGCAACACGGCCTCGAGTTCTCCAAGTTAACATCGACATCTGTATGTAGTTAAAATATATTCATACATATAAATATATAAGTACACACCTATTTTCCTTTTTCTAAAACATATTATTCTATCTGGAAATTTAAATGGAGACGGGGTATCTTTTTTAGATTTGCTACTTACTTACAGTTGTTAGTTTTCAATGATGTTTAACCAATTCAATCAACTAAATATATACATTCGTGGTCAACTAATTAGGGACAATCTCTAGTTAAGCCAAATTGTGATTTTTTTTATTTTTTTTCAACGAGTTTTAAAATATTCCATATCTTTTACATGTAAGTATTGATGTGCCCGATTATACAAACAACTAGCAAACCCAGCGAACTCCGTTTCGCCACCAGATGGCTTCGTTTTATGTAACATTTCGTTTGGTGATTAAAAGAAGATTTTTTTTTTAATTTTTCCTGAATTTTCTTTGCTATAAACCTCACGGAGCCCGAGACCTTTCCAACGAATGCAAAACCGTGGAAATCGGTTCGTGCATTCTGGAGTTTTAGCGTCAGGAAGGAAAACCCGACTTATTTTTATATAGTAGATAACAACTTCTTAAACATTAAACCTCTTTACAGTATAGCTGATAGATTATCATAGTGCTATTTGTTCAAATAATGCTGGCTGGCCATTTATTTTAAGGTTTGAAAAATATTTTGAAGAAAAATGGGCAAAAATAAAAGTTCGGATTCAACACTACGAAAAATTATCATGAAGTTTGTTGTCGAGCATGGTTGGCCATACCGAAGGATAGCAGAACATTTAAATTGTTCAAAAACTATGGTATACAATGCAGTGCAACATGTCAGACGCAATAACACAGCTTTAAATGTGCCCAGAACGAAAAGATCGAGAAAAACAACTCCGCAAGAAGATAGAATGATAACCAGGTTAGCTAAGAAAGATCCGTTTCTAGGCTCTATTTTAATTAAACACGAAGTGTTTGGGGCAGACGAAAGAGCTGGTGTCTCAGCGAGGACCGTTCGACGACGTCTGGTAGAAGCAGGGTTGTTCGGAAGAGTGGCTCGCAAAGTACCGTTGTTAAAGAAAGAACATAGAAATGCTCGTTTGGCGTTTGCACGTAAATATGGACATTGGACCTACGCCCAATGGCAACATATATTATTCTCTGACGAGACCAAGGTTAATTTGATTTCTTCAGATGGAAGGCAATACGTACGGCGTCCAGTAAAAGCGGAAATGAATCCAAGATTCACAAAAAAGCAGGTGAAACATGGCGGTGGAAACATTAAAATGTGGGGTTCATTTTCTGGACGTGGAGTGGGACCTGTGAGGAAAGTTCAGGGTAACTTAGACCAACATCAATACAAGGCAATATTGGAGGAAACGATGCTTCCCTATGCTGAGGAGCATCTCCCTATTATATGGACGTTTCAGCATGATAACGACCCGAAACATACCGCTCGTTCAGTCAAGTCGTTTCTTACCAGTCAGTCAGTATCGGTGCTAGATTGGCCAGCAAATAGCCCGGACCTTAACCCAATCGAGCACCTTTGGCACGAAATCAAGAAAAAAGTTGCCACTTATCGTACCACAACTTTAGATGAACTTAATGAAGCTTTTTGTGTGGCATGGGCAAACATTCCTGTCGAAATATGCCAGAAACTGATAATGTCTATGCCACATCGTTGTCAAGCGGTAATTACTAACAAAGGTTTTGCAATTGGGTACTGATTTTACACGTAATAAAATGGAGCTGTTAAAGATATTATAATACTGCAGATTATTAGTTTTGTTTAACTCTATTTTTCATTATAGTTTACTGTCCTTAATTAAATGTCCAGCTACAGAATTATACCTTAAAATTGAATACATGTTCAACCTTTGATATTAAATACTTTTTTCTATTTATTTATTCTTTTATTTACAGCCATTTATAGCATAATAATCGGACCAAATTATGCAAATAATAGGTGCTGAGAAATGAATAGGGTTTTATATTTATATGTACATAACCGGTTATTGCTCTTCACTATCTTGAAAGTCCCTAATTAGTTGACCACGACTGTATATATAGTAATGAAGCAATCAGCATGTTAAAATAATGAGCAAAACACCCTATTGGTTCCTGAAATGTGTGTTCAATATAAAGTAGAATATTGAAATAATGATTGGATTTAACATGTATGTAAGACTTGATAGTCTTCAACATTTACAGATACCCAACTTCAATTGACATAAAGTTATTAGCGAAACATCACAAACATCATATCCATAACTCGTCTCCTATTAACTTTGTTGCTTAACAAATTTGGACTTTAATGATGTGACTATTGAATTGGATTTAAATTGGCTGTGTTTGTTGTTAGCTGGAGGAGGGTCGGCGCGGCGCGCTCCGTAAGGTATCGCCGACATACAGCGACTTTTCGAACCCTATGAGAGATTACATATCTGCGGTAACACACCCTGATCCCGCACCGATACAGCGAATTTTACGTAAACTTCATAAAAAATAACGAAAAGACCCAACCAGTAAAGAAAGAATGTAAAATAAATGTTTTGATGTTTGAGTCGTGACAGTGGTCAACTTTTAAGAGTTTAAAAAGCTCGCGATAAAATCGGTACGGAATCAGTAGCATCTTTTATCGATCAGTAATATTTGGCTGTCTTCAACCGGCATATCTAATACTACTTAATCTTTGGCTCGTTTGAAGAACTGAGAAATTGTCGTTTTTATACGACTTATCACGTATTCAGTGTGAAGAGGTGGTGAACTCATAAGAACGAAAAATAATAAAACTACTGACGAGCATCGGAAATTACTAGAAAATTCCTCGGAGATTTCAGAGACTGCTGAACCGATTTTCAGAGACATCTGAACCGATTTTCAGACACAACTGAACCGATTTATCAAAAATCTACTCAACAGACTTTCAAGGACCTCTGAACCGATTTCTAAAAACTACTGAACCGATTAGTTTGTAAACTACGAACCGTTATTAATGCAAATAATATAATGGGCTTCAGTTTGTTACGACATACTCTAAACTTGTAACTAAAGAACATGGTATAACTTAGTATGAGGGACTCCCCTAGACATGTATAAATATTGTACTTAGTAATATTTAATGCTCAATTTCTATGAAAAAAGGCTCAGGAACTTTTGACGAAGTTACAATACTGAAAATTATGAAAACTCCTACCACATCATTACCTTGCTACATTTGACAAAAGATGTTGGCAATTTTTTACAGAGCCATCAATTTTGCATTATCTTAGTCTTTCTTTGATTGAAATGGGTCTGATTTCCACGTCTCAAAAAGTTTTTTAAAGCATAAATACATAAATATAATAATTTGTTGTCGTCGGCCCGACAGGAAATCTGTGAAGTTTTATTTTGTTCATTTGCAAAAATCAAAATATTATATATTAAACCTTCAGTGATTTGTTATAAAAAAAATATTTTATAGTTCTTAGTAGTCTGGAATTAATATTGTGTATTTCGATATTCTTCAAATAATTTTTGTATAGATTTATTGTTATTTATTTTTTTAAAGCGGACCATTTTCCTACTGAATAAACATGAAATCATTTTTCATACTTTTAAATGTTTGATTGTTTCACGAAAGTTTTATGAGAATAATACACACGTATTAAATAATAAACAAATATTTTAATGTTGCAGGCTAGTGCCAAATAATTATACATGTTATGGGCAGTTTCTTAGCCATGTCCTTTAACAACAACCTCAAGTTTATGGTTTAAAAGATCATGTATGAATTGAACCCATTGTGTCTACAGATATGTCCGTATTACCTGTATTTAGAGTAAACCTGAATGTAAAAAGTCCACGTAACTATAGTCTGATATTTTATTCTACGGAATTCACACAGCTGTATTTTTTTTTATTTCAGATATCATAATTTTTTTTATTATATTTCTTCAGATACCATAAACTTTAAAAGTTTAAAGCTTATCCTGGTGAAGAAAACTTTAACGTTCTATTTAAACGCAAACCAGGTATTTCCCATCATGGTTTGTCCTGTACTCCTTTGTATTTATTCATAATAACAAAGGTTATTAATATTAAAAAAAAAGTCATTTGAATGAATAAAACTTTTTGAATATAAAATTACAAAATAATATGGAAAAGAGTTAGATTAAGTAAACTATATGACAATGTTAATAATGTTTTTTTTGTGTATTCAATGTGCTAACTGATAATTTAATTTAAAATGGCAAAATAGAAAGAAATAAAAAACAATATTTATTTGTGTATCATTATCACTAATATTATAATATTCAACATCATCTTCGACTCAAAACTTCACTTATATAAGAACCAAAGATTTTGCTAACCTATGACTAGTAGATATGGATACCTATGAATGAAAAATAATTTCCTTACTTCAATACTGTGATAGCAAAAAATCTGATTACCGTTTTTATGTCATCCGTCAATTTTAAGTTTTAGTTTTTCTAATTTAAAATATTAGATGCAAGTAAGATTTTTTTAATGTCGCTTAAAACTATTCAACATATTGCAGATATTAAAGGACTGTTTTATCATTGGCAACATTTCTGAAATGTAAGACTTTCGTGGAATTTAAAATCAGAGTATAGCCAAAGCTACACACATCAAAAGTGTCTAGGGATCAACATATATTTTTGCAATAACTTTTCTCCTGATTGATATTAATTAAAATTTTCTTTAAGGATTCATCAAATAAAGTGTTTTCGTTTGTCACAGTAACGATAAACCAAGTCACCTTTGCATTAATAAAGAAATTTGCCATTTTCCTAATAATTGATTGAATTGGATTTTTGACATTTGAACCACTAACACAAAAGTTCGAAAAAAAGACTGAAATAACAGTTTTCTCTAAAATTTTATTGGGTAACTTAAACAATTAATAATCCGTATTTCTACCGCGAACACTAACAACACAAGAACATCGGTTTGGCATACTCAAAATGAGTTCATCCAAATCACGCTGTGGAATGGCCGCCCATGTTCGTTGCAACAACAAAAAAAGGTCTTCTTGCGACTGGATACCCTCCATATTCGGCAGAGCTCTTCTCTGTAGCATATCCCATGCATGCTCAATCGGGTTCAAGTCTGGCGACTGAGCAGGCCAGGGCAGGACATTGATGTTAGCTGCGGCGAGAGTCTGTCTTACAACTCTTGCGGTGTGCGGTCGTGCATTATCATGCATTAACTGAAATAAGGGACCGATTTGCACTTGTAGAGGAACGATGACGTCTGATACAATCGTCTCAGCATAAATTTGAGCGTTGAGGTTGCCTCTGATCTAAATCAACTCAGTTCTTCCGCCGATCCAAATACCCGCCCATACCATGATGGTTCCACCACTATAAGGATGGACTTCCTGGCAGGATTTTAATCGCTGTTGGCGTCCAGGGGTTCTCCAGTGTCGTATACGTCTTGTATCCGGTCTCATACCAAAACGAGACTCATCAGAAAAGCACACGAAACGCCATTGTTCTTCTGCCCAATTTCTGTGTTCAAGAGCCCATTGATATCGAATCCTACGATTGTGCATTGCTATAGGTGGTACCCGTAGCGGTCTTCGGGAATGAAGGTTCACTTCATGCAAGCGGTTTCTGACTGTCTGTTGGTCGCTAATTAAGTTCCCTGAAGAGTGATGAAGCCTCACGGCTAACATCATGGCGGTTATTGTTGGAGCTCTTCGAGTTAAGATTTGAATGTATCGGTCTTGTCTCCGTGTGGTGCAGCGATACCGTCCTCCATGGCGCTCAGCCACGGTACCAGTGCTTCGGTATCGTGTCCAAAGTCGACTGATAACACTCTGACTTGTATTCAGAGCTAAAGCCACAGTACGTTGCCGGGAACCAGCTTCTATCATTCCCACGGCTCTGAGCATTTCTTCCCTGCTTAAATGACGTCGCCGCTCCATAATAACGTTGGTTTTAATCAGTAGTAGGGAAACAGTAGCACTAATAATGTCTTCAATGCGTTGTATGTTTTTATAGGGAAAATATTGACAGCTGATTTTCATCTTTTACTCGAATTTGATTCACAGTTCCTGATTCAAATTATGAAATGCACCAAAAAGGATCCATATAAATTTATAAAATCATAAATTTATTACAAAGCCACATCTCAATCTCAAGAAATCCGCATAAAAATGCTTGATCCCTAGACACTTTTGATGTGTGTAGTTATTTTACTAAATACAGTGGACTTATCGATTGTGTGCTCTGAATGTTATTTTTCATGTATTTTAGAATAACCCTTGATCTGTTACAACCATAGTTCTGAGTTTTATTGAATTTAACCTAATCTAAAAACTATACTGTTACAAAATTTATAAACTATAATTTTGTATAAGTTAATCGAAGTCAAATCTACATTGTAAATAGTACTTCAAACTCTATTTTTTTTAATATATAAAATCGGAGGTAACATAATATATTTAATTTACATAGAAAATTCATTTACAGAGCACACACGCTGATAAAAAGTTTTCAACTAGTGATAAGCAAAAATCTGAATCGTTACATATGCTCGCAATTATTTTCTTTGTGAATTTATTTCAACTTCTTACAAATTTTAACATGGATATGCGCATAAGAATATTAACCCCAGACCCTCCTTCACGGCATCAGAAGTGTTAATACATCCCATCCATGCCATTAAATAAATAGGTAAAATAAATATTTGGTACAAGTGGGTGCCCGCGACTTTATCTGCGTGGAAATATTGGTTTCCCATACAAACTTTGAACCACAGTTCTACACCTTTCATCATCATCAGCGTTTTAATATCCCCACCGCTGGGGCACAGGCATCCTTCCCTGTGGATGGAATAGGAAGATTAGGCCGCGACCCACTACGCGGGTAATAGCTATATTTGTGCTAAATTTCAGCGCAATCCGTTCAGAAGTTTCAGCTGTGCGTTGAAAGATCAGTCGGTAACAGTTACCTTTTATATATACAGACTAACCGAGTTAACATTTTTTTCCAAAAATAGGGTTACCATTTGTCAGGGTTTTTATGCTTTTATACGGCTTTCATATTTGACGTTGTCGTATTATTTGTATAGTGAAATAAAATAAATGTGAAATTATTGATGTCGTACCTAGTGTTGAATACATTTCAAGTATTATAAACTAGACTGTCTGGAAATAAAACTGTCTAATAAAACTTACATGAGGATAAAAACCTTTTTGCTGTGGATACATAAAAACTGTTCCCCTAGCACGAACCAATATCGAATTCGAATAGTTTGCAAACAGAAATGTCAATGTCAAATTTTGTTTGGAAACTTGAACAGCAGCGCCACTTTGGACGTGACGGGAACTTAAAAATCAGTACACATTTGACAATGACATTTCGGACTCGCAAACATTACGAATTCGATTTTGGTTCGTGCTAGGGGTACTACAGTACTTCGTTTTTAGGGGTTCCGTGGACCTCCTCTATTACTGAGACTCTACTGTCTGTCTGTGTATCTGTCACGGGGCTTATCTCAGTAACAGTCAGTCATAGCTGACCAATTGATCACGGATTATTTATTTATGTTGCCGTTATAATAACAAATACTAAAAATAGTATAAATATTTAAGAGGAGCTCCCATACAACAAACGTGTTTTTTTACGTTTTGCACAATATTTAGAACTGCAACACAGAATATTTAATTTCATATTCATTTAAAAAAAAAGTACCTAAATTAAATTTCAATAAATATTAAAGGGGTGCTCTCTTACAACACACGTTTTTTTTGCCGTTTCTCTAATATTGGTGTCGATTCTGTCATGATTCTCTAAGTCTAAACTTAAATTTGACAACAGTGTATCCTTGTCATTCTCTATACGGAATGAAAAAGACAGACTGATGTTAAGTTTACTTTTAAGTTTAGTGAATCACGCTAGAATCGACACCATTGTATAGATAATTGTACGGAACCCTTCGTTTACTATCCAACATTAACCTACATTTTTGTCCTTTTCCTTAATTAAGGCTGGGCCTTAAATTATGCCAAATTCCATCCAAATCTGTTTAGCTGCTTTCGAGGATTGAGAAACAAATACCTCTCCAATCTCACCGAAAGGAAACACTGTGCCTTCTACATATTAATCCAATCACACACCTGCAGCTAATTACCGTCTCACTTGATTTACGGTCAGTTTCAATAATCTGGTTCCGTTTCTTAGCATTCTTATCTAAATAAAATTATCTAGGCAACAAAGCTAAATTAAATTCATCATTCCGGGGTTCAAGGTGTCGCCTACTCGAGAGGTTCCGGGTTCGAATCCCGGTGGGGGCAGATGTTTGTGTGATGAATACGAGCATATTTGTATTCCAGTCATGGATGTTAATCTGTATTTCTATATAAATATACTTATACATGTATCAGTGTATGTATTCTGTCCGTTACCCTAGTTTCCCATAACACAAGCCTACAGTGCTTACTTTGGGGCTATTCTAATTGGTGGAGTGTTGGAAATATTTATTCATTATTTATAACAACTAGGCTAAGAAACGGCTGAGCATAGAAAACATATTATTATGTTTGTTTTATTATTTTTTTTATCAGCTACTTCTTGCAATATTGGTCAAAATTCCAAAAGTTCAAAACGCGAGTTCGAGAGCCCGCAATTTGCGTGGAATATTTGGTTTCTCATACACTCTCCCGTTCCTTTACAGAAATCGTCCTTTAAGGGTGAAAAGGCGGGTCAAAGGACGATTTTTGGAATAAAAACTATCTTCTGTCCTTTCCCGGGACTCAAACTATCTCTGTACCAAATTTCATATGAATCGGTTCAGTGCTTTAAGCGTGAAGAGGTAAAAGCAGACAAGACACACTTTCGCAATTATAATATTGATGAGCCCCGTCACTATCGTAATGTGTCGAAACGCTATTATACGGCCCTACGTGACTATACCTTTTACTAGAAGTTGTTTATTGATATGTCTGTCCGGCTGTCTGTCTGTGTATATCCATAATCTGCCATAAAGAAGTTGTTCGTGCATTAAGGCATGTTTGACCGCTTTTACAAAAGGAAAAACATTTGTTTTGCACGCCGAACGGACGGATGTCGAACGAAAGTTCTATAATTATGATCCGTGTTAGGCATGTGATATTAATTACACCCGTCGTTTCTTCCAGCACCTAGCAAGAACTGCTTCTTAATATCTTGATATGAGTTAGCTGTCTGCTGATCGTATGTCATATTCGCTAATAGTACGATTGCTTCTCATCTGTCAAAGCTTTGTAACTCTAGAGAAAGAAAATGGATTCTATTTTATTGAATTAGTATATGAAATAAGAGCATAGATAACGATTTCTTCATTCCATGATATTGGTGGTAAATCTAACGTTTTCCTTTTTTCGACTATGACATTTTTTTTAAATTCTGTAGCTGCATATGAAGGAATACTGGTTTCGATTCCCGATTGAGTCGATCTAGAAAACGATTTGTTTATTGTAGTCTCGCGTCGCGGCTTGGTTTCATGTCTTCAGCTCCAGTGAATAGGAACAATGTATTATATTTGATATTTTACAATACCAATTAGGATGATTGTGATTAAGACTTCTCGTAGTTCTAATTTAGCTAAGGTTATGGGATTTTTATGCTGCTTAAAATGCTGGGGTTTGAACTGTTCCAATCATTCTAACAGGTTTCCTATATTAAATAAATCATGATTGTATTGACGTTGTAACAACATAATGATTTGTAAATGATGTTACATTATACTTTTAATGTTGTGGAGTTTTTCTCCGCAGCTAAAAAATATGTACAATAACGAGTGGTAAGGAAAAAAAAATTGGACGATTCAAAAGAGTTACTACAATACTATACATCCAATTTGAATAAAGATATATTGATTTCTGATTAGAACTCGTATTCGGGTTAACGATCAAGTGTAATCGAGCCATTAGGGTCATAGAGATAGATAATGGCCGTTCACTAACCAACTGTGAAGGCAAAATGGAATAATATACAAAGCGATGGGGCGGTTCATAGTTTGTCTATGATGTCGATTCTGGCATGATTTTGTTAACTTTAAACTAAAAACATCAGTCTCTCATTTTCATCTGTAATGAGAATGAAAAAAACGAGAAAATTAGATGCGAGTGTCCCTAAGTCCATTCTCTGTATATGTTTTTTTTTTGTAATTTCGAAATTCCATTTATGTATTTAAATTCACATGTATTATCGAACGAAGTATGTTACCTATAAGTTTTTGTTACAGTGGCCAAAGAGGAAGAAGAGGAAGAACAGCAAGAATAATAACATTAATTGAGATGCAATAATAAAATGTTACACTCATGATTGTAGTCTTTTATTTAACATTTGCATATAGTTATACATTTTAATTAGATAAGTTATTATATTTAATATGTATATAACTTAAGCATACACTGTTCTATGTATAGAAACATACCTCAATTAAGATTTTTATACAGGGTTACAGGGAAAGTCGTTCTGAATATTAAAGGAGGTTATTATTCAGGTCATTACTGATGGATTTGGTCCTATGACATGGTTAACATGTAACATGGACAACTTTAGCGTTAAGGAGATATTCAGATTTTAAGTCTTTTTTTTAAATAATCCTTAATTTTTTGACTTTTCATCGATTTTTGCGGGATTACAGCTCCTAGGGTCCATTTTATAATTAATTTAGTTAGAAGTCACATCAAATAATCAAATTGATTAATAAAAAACTGAACCTGCTACTAACAAATGGAAAAAACTGGCCAAGAACGGGTAGAGTGAAAAAAATAACTAAGTATTTCTAACTTTGAAAAACTTTTTTTAAAAAATAATGTATGAAACTTATTCTGCAAATAATTTAAAAATCTTCTACGTCTACCTTTTCAAAAAGGTATAATAATAACTATTAAATAGCCAAGAACTGGACCAAATGATAGTTCAGGTAGCAAAGGGTACAGTTTTAGTTTAAGGTATAAATGGCTAAAAATAAACTAAACAAATGATTCATGTTTTAAGAATTTCTCTATTTCTAACACAAATTATCAATATATTCCTTAAATTACTTTTAGTTTTAACGACTGAAGTTCGCAGGTTTCGCCTCATTTCGTCAGCCTTTATCTTTTGTTTCAGAACATCGATATTCTCAATCATTTGGTCGTACACCAGGTTTTCATATGACCCCACACATAAAAAAACCATTGGCGTTAAATCGAGGCTCCTTGCCGGCCATGCTATGGGTCCGCCTCGAAGTGCTCGAGCATAGTTGGACGAAAAGTACCCAAACCGCTGGATCGGAAAAGGCGGACCCATAGCATGGCCGACAAGAAGCCCCGATTTAACGCCAATGGATTTTGAAGATATGAAGACATCGATTAATCAATCTAATTAATTGATGTATCTTCTAACTAAATAAAAAACGGACCCTAGGAGCTCTAATCCCAAAAAAAAATAGATGAAAAGTCAAAAATATAAGGATTATTTAAAAAAATCTAAATATCTCCTTAACGGTAAAGCTTCGGACACCATGTAATAGGACCAAATCCCTCAGTAATGACCTGAATAATATCCTCCTGTAATATTCAGTAAGACTTACCCTGTAACCCTGTAACCCGGTACAAAATAAAATATTCAATTGAACACCAGAATCATGGATTTAAGTAACAAAATTAAGACATTATTTTCGTGCAGGTTTTAACTGTACGGATAACATAAATCATAGCTTAGTTACAATATAAATTATAAAATACTAAAATACATTTTTTAAATATTTCAAATTAATATATTATATATGTAAGTAAATTCAAAATATAATATGGAAAACACAGTTTTGTTTTTACACACATCATTATTATATTTGAATTATTACCTATCGATACAACGTGATGATATTAATAAAATGTGTATCGTTATTGTTTCCGAGTTATTATTGATATCGAGTGAAGTTTAATGCGGTCATTGAGTAAAGTACACATTAACACCTCACAGGGAAGAGTAGTAATATATCAACTACTAGGCGGACTCATCGAAATATCCGTCGAGCTGAGTCGCGATCTGAAATGGGTAGTAAGTCTGTTAGAATCTGTCGAGAAAAATATAGTAATCAAAAGAGTCTGCAACGACATACGGATTGCCAATGCAACGCTGATATTATTATTCTGGAGGGGCCTAATTTTAACATCAACAGACAGAAATTTTCGAATGCCGCTTGCGAGAATAGAGAGAAGTCAAGATTCAGGGTTGCGTTCTAAACCTACGCTATAATAGCAACTTTTTACCCTGACGATTCAATTTTCACAAAATGAAACTTTGTTAAATTTGACATTTGTTGTACCTAGAGCGTAGGTTTGGAACGCAGCCCGGGATTATAGTTATATAGTGCACGTATCATACGTACATGTACGGGCGTGAATTTGACATATTTATCCGGGTTCTGAGAAAAAGGACAGGCGCTATAAGTAGGAAGGACAGCCTACTTGTTGTCTTGTTTCAACGATTCACACACCTCAAAGTAGTGAGCAAACGTGTTCGTTATTGAGTGTATGGTGTTCGTGACATACATACCTGTACAGGCGTGTATATGACGTACTTATCCGGGTTCTTGAAGAGGAATAGATCAGCGCAGGCGTCGTAGAAGTCGATGTCAGTGGGAATGATAACCTGCTTGTTGTCTCGCTTTAGCTTAAAGTAATGTGCAAACGTGTTCTTTATTGAGTGTATGGTGTTCGTGTTATACATACCTGTACAGGTGTGTATTTGACGTATTTATTCGGGTTCTTGGAGAAGGGTAGATGAGCGCAGGCGTCGTAGAAGGCGATGTAAGCGGGAAGGATAGCCTGCTTGTTGTCTCGCTTCAACGATTCACGCAGCTCAAAGAAGTATGCAAACGTGTTCGTTGTTCAGTGTTTAGTGTACGTGTCATTAATTACCTGTACGGGCGTATATTTGACGTATTTATCCGGGTTCTTGGAGAAGGGTAGATGAGCGCAAGCGTCGTAGAAGGCGGTGTACGTGGGAAGGATAGCCTGCTTGTTGTCTCGCTTCAACGATTCGCGTAGCTCGGCGTCCGGCACGCTGTATAAACGCTGAGCGCGAGTGATATCCTCCCATTCGCGGTTGAACGACTAAACATATTACTCGGTTACATTCAGTCAATGTTCATAGAAATTTGACAACTCTCTAAAAAGAGTTAAAAACGGGCCATTCTCAGTAGATACATCGGCGGATCCATGATGGATCTAGTGAGAACTTATTTTCTTTTTAGATCCATTTGCATAAAAAATAATAAAAGGGATAAAACGAATAAAGATCTATAGGCGAATAATTAAAATCCACACCATCCGTAATTGGCGAAATTATGATAACAATAAAACCTAAACAATAATAACAAATTGCTCATATTTGCAATAACAAAAAGGTTTGGACTTTATCACCACTTAACATCAGGTTAACAACAATAAAAAAAATGCGTTCCTTGAACTGTATTATTCATTATGCTACTTATCAATTCGATTAAATAATCGATTCACTATTCGATGACTAAAGTCAATTGAAATCATTTTGAATAGATTTTTGGGTGCAACCCTTTTCAACCATGGACAACAGCAACAGTCAATTATCATCTGTCAAAACAACCTTACTTTTCGAGTTTTTATTTTAAAATTTTCATATACTATTAAAGAAATAAGAAGAAAGAAGAACTATAAAAGAACGTGAATTAATAAGTTAAAGCCCTAGAAATGCAAGTGAATGTGTCGAGAAATCCATTTAGTACCTAAGTCATTGCGTGGGAATTGAGAAGTAAAGTGTTTGTTTACTTTTAGTCCAAATTGTTTTGGAACAGACTTTATTCAGTATTGTCACACAGTTATAACTTTTCTTTTAGAATGCTGGCCACGAAAAAGATTATTAAATACGAATTTCGAATTGTTCATGAAAATAAAAATGTATAGTTTTTCGAATTTTACTCACTCATTTTTAAATATGGAGTGGACGCTTAAAGAAGACCGTGTTGCAGTTATTGCGTTGCATCGTTGCGGTTACGCGCCAATTCCAAATTTTGACATACTGAAAATTTTGAATATAACCAAAAGATTCGTTTATCGTACCATCAAACGATACGATGAAGACTCTAGTGTAGATGACAGGTCAAGAAGTGGTCGCCCTCGGTTTGTTAGGACTCCAGCAGTGATAAAAGCTGTGAAGGCGCGAATTCAAAGAAATCCCAAACGAAAGCAGAAACTGTTGTCCCTTCAGATGGGGTTAAGCAAAACCACGGTGTAAAGGGTGTTAAATGAAGACTTAGGGCTTCGGGCATATCGAAGAAAAACAGGACATCGCTTGAATGCTCGTCTAATGGACCTGAGACTGAAGAGATGCCGCGCTTTGTTGAAGCGGTACGCGGGAAAAAAATATCGGGAAATCCTTTTTTTGGATGAAAAAATGTTTACCGTAGAAGAGAGCTACAACAAACAAAATAATAAGGTGTACGAACACAGTAGTGAAGAAGCGAGCAACCGTATTCCGCGTGTCCAACGAGGTCATTTTCCATCCTCGCTCATGGTATGGTTGGGAGTTTCTTATTGGGGCTTAACAGAGGTACATTTTTGTGAGAAAGGTGTAAAAACGAATGCAGTTGTGTATCAAAATACAGTCCTGACGAACCTTGTGGAACCTGTTTCTCATACCATATTCAATAACAGGCACTGGGTATCACAACAAGATTCGGCGCCAGCTCATAGAGCGAAGAGCACACAAGATTGGCTGGCGGCGCGTGAAATTGACTTCGTCCGGCACGAAGACTGGCCCTCCTCCAGTCCAGATTTGGAGTCCGTTAGATTACAAGATATGGAAACACTTGGAGGAAAAGGCGTGCTCAAAGCCTCATCCCAATTTGGAGTCAGTCAAGACATCCTTGATTAAGGCATCCGCCGATATTGACATGGACCTCGTTCGTGCTGCGATAGACGACTGGCCGCGCAGATTGAAGGCCTGTATTCAAAATCACGGAGGTCATTTTGAATAAACTTTATTGTCATAAGAATCTATGTTTTGTTAAGTTCATTTTGGTATATAAATGGTTACATAATAACACATAATAATGAATAAACTTGTTTCAATTATTTTATATTAAACATGTGACAGAATTTATGACCTGACTAGGTAGTTATGTTATCACTAGTAACAACTGTCAAAACGGGCCTAGTATTTTGTGATGACTATAGTAAATGTGTAAAATTATGAGAAAATATTGTTTTTACTCCATTATTTTTTAATCAAGTTTAACTATAGCCGAAACAACGCGGCCTAAGGAATTCTCGATGTGTATCGCTACGACCACACTGTCATGTTATCGCGAACCTTTTCATGACAAGCCAAGCAATAGTCATATTTCAGAACACGGGCAGAAAGATGATTAAGATTTGACCAATGTCGTAAAACCCATTTAGATGATCCCTTCCAGACTTTTCCAGACACAATATCTTAATGAAATTCATACGTCAGTCTTTTTCCATTCATCTGAATTGTGTATTAATACTGACCGCAAACTTGTCCTTAAGGATCTGTCTGTCCCTGTCGCGCAGCTTGGGCGGAAGTTGCTCGTCCAGCACACAGTGTGCTAGCAGCTTATTCCAGCTAAATAAATAAATAAAAACCGTTGAATTACAACGTTGATCAAAGACCAAAGACATATCTAGCTTCAACTCCTCATCATGAAGTAACTATCATACGTTTCAAGTTGATATTTGTAATGCTGACACTTGGGTTCGTGTTTGCTATTTGTAAACTTGACATCAGTCTGTCCTTTATTTAGATAATCGCCCATGCCACAGTGTTGCGCAGTCCCGTTTTGTTCGGAAAAATGGTTTCCCTAGAGGGCGCTGTTTAGTAAACATTGGCTCCCGTACGTATTTAGTAATAAAATAATAAATGACGTCAATTTAACCTTTTAGTGGCATAATTATATAAAAAAATAACTAAATATTTAGTGAAAGTGTTGGTGAAAAAAAATTATTGAGAAGAATAGTAAAAAAAGTCAAAAACAAAAATACGACAAATTTATTAGTGTAACTTAAGTAAATGACAATTAATTGAGAAGTTTATTATTACGAAGTTATTAAATGTGTGAAGTGACTTAAAAAAAGGTTTACAGAACAATGAACAGTGCATAATTTTTAAAGTTGAATAACGGTTTTATGAAATGATTAACAACTTTAAGTGGACATTGACCTCTTCACAGACGTAGCATTTCAACTAATAAGACAACTAGCGCCATCTATTGAGCAGTAGCTGAACTATTAAGTGTGTATAGGAAAATATAAAGTGACGACTAATATTTTATTTTTATTATGTGGACAGTTATAGCATAAAAAAAAATTGAGCAAAGAATTGTATAACGTTTTTTTCTACAGTACCTAAAACTATATAGACAGAAGCAAAGGTATGTTTAGACGAGAAATTATATTACTTAAAATATACTAACGCCATCTAGAGTGCTTTTTGAGAATTGCTACAAAACCTCATAATTCAATTTGGCATGCTGTAACTGCGTTGCTTCTGCTTACTGTTTAACCTAGCGCGTTATTATTACTACCGGAAGATGGAGCACACATGCGCAGCTTGTTTAATAAAAATACCAGACAGAAGATTTTTGACCTGTTCACTATGCACAGAAAAGTATGACTTACAATGTGTCAATGTATCGGAGAAGCGGTTTTATAATACTATGAGCAAGGAGCATAAATTATCTTGGATATGCCCAAAATGCTCATCAAAACAACCAACATACGATAACACTAACACTCCAGAGCGACGACAAGAGGACGGCCCAAACATTGAAATTAATTCCCCATTTAATGAAAATGTCACAAAAAGGCGTAAATAGTACAGACACAAAAAATAACAAAACTGACCTCAATTTAAAAGAACAAAGTAATTCAAAACAAGAAGTACATAAGAAAATAATAGTTCTTTATGGACTTAACGAAACCAGATACGAAACTGAATACGAGTTACATGAAAAAATTTTAAATTTATTTTATGATATAGCAGGGATAGATCTTTCAGGATACGTAGAAGATTTAAGCCGTATAGGTGGGAGGGGTACGAGACGACCTTTGAAAATAGAATTACTGAGCAAACAAGTTACGAAATGCATCTTAGAATGCAAATTATACTTTAAAAATACAGGCTTATGGATATCAGAGTATCTCGACGAATCAGGCTTACAACACAGAAAACAAGAAAGAGAAAGTTTCAGAAAGAATAGACAATTTAAACATACGACAGAACTGGAGAAAAGCCCTTCACAATATCATCCACGCAAACAGAATCAAAATATGACAACTAACGCAGAACTACAAATAGGAATAACATCACAATCTCAACCTGTTACAAATCAACTCGGAAGAAACTATAATTCCTTTCGTCCCTAACAGGAAAAATACCAATTCAGTATTCTTATTTCAAAATGTGAGAAGCATTAAAAACAAGTTACACATAATAGAAGACTTAGTGGAAGATTATAATTTTGCTGCTTTATGCTTTACGGAAACCTGGATCTCGCCATGTAAAACTGACTTGCTGGTTGTAGAAGGATATAATCTAGCGAGTAGATTCTCTAGAGAACACCGAGAAGGGGGCGGCGTATGTATATTTATAAAAGACCATATTGAATATTATGAATGCGAGGATATAAATAGTTTTTCATTGGAATATATAATTGAAATATGTGCTGTTCAAATACCACATTTAAATTTAATACTTGTTGTTATGTACTGGCCAGAGAGTAAAAGAGAAACAATTATAGTAAATGAACAAATAGGAAAAGTACTTAAATTATTAACGACTAAATACAATAAAAAACATATAATAATAAGAGGAGATTTAAACATAAACTTCTTAAGTAATTGCAGTCAAAGTAAAATGTACATCAATTTATTTAAAAGTTATAACTTTGATCAATATGTTAAAGAGCATACGAGAGTAACTCCTACTAGCTCTACCTGTTTGGATCCAAATTTTTACCAACTTTGATATGACAAACACAACTGTGGAAGTAAAAGAATACGGAATCTCTGACCACAAAGGTACAATAATTGACTTTCAAAAACCCCAAATAAAACAAAATTCAACTGCGTACTATATAAAGAAAAGAATTTTTAACCTGCATAACACTGCATTGTTTAAAAAACAATTGCAGGCTATTAATTGGGATCAAATATTATCACATAAAAAAAGTATCAATCAAAATTACAGTTCTTTTCACGACTTATTAACATGTTTATTAAACAAGTGCATTCCAAAAAAACTAGTAAAAATAAATAATATTAATAAAAAACTGTGGCTAACTAAAGGCATTAAAACATCTTGTAAACATAAACGATTACTACATATATTAAAATCTCAGACAAATAATCCATTACTTAATGATTATTACAATAAATATGTAAAACTATTAAAGAATATAGTAATAACATCAAAAAAGAACTTATATATTAAAAAAATTAAATATTCAAAAAACGTAACGAAATCTATGTGGCAAATAATTAAACAACGTACAAATAAAATAAAGAAGCAATGCCACAAGAATATAGGTTTAAAAACGGAAACAAGCAATACAACTGATCCTTACATAATTTCAAACATGCTAAATAAATATTTTGTTTCAGTGGGTAACAATAATAACAAACCAGATCCTGAAGGGCGCCCTTCTCTAAGTTATACTGAAAAAGTATGTTCCTAAACCCAGTTACGGAAGTTGAAGTTCTTTCTATCTTAAAGTCATTGAAAAATAAAACTAGTTTTGGAATAGACGAATTTCCGCCGTCATTAATAAAACAATGTAAAGAGGAGCTCGTTGAACCCTTAACTTATCTAATTAACCAATCTTTTAGAGAAGCAGCGTTTCCAAAATTATTAAAAACTACAGTTATCAAACCTGTACCTAAACAACGTAACGCAAATGAACCGCAACATTTTCGACCTATTGCACTACTATCTACCTTTTCCAAAGTGTTTGAGTCCGCTATGGCGATGCGTCTAACATCCTTTTGTGAAAAATTTGAAATTTTTAATAACTGTCAACATGGTTTTAGGAAGCGTAGATCTACTATTACTGCCCTTTATGAGTATTTTAATGAAATATTTTCAATAATTAACGCACAGAAATATGTTGTAGGAGTATTGCTTGACATGAGCAAAGCGTATGATCGAGTTTCTCATAAAATACTTTTAAAAAAACTTCACTCTATAGGGGTAAGGGGGATAGCACACCAGTGGTTAGCATCATACTTGGAAGATAGGGAACAATTTGTACAAGTCGACTATTATAATTCTAAAAATAACATATTAAGTAAAATTATATCAGAAAAAGATAGGATAGAGAGATCAATTCCGCAAGGTAGCATTCTTGGATGCATTTTATTTCTAATTTATATTAATGATATATCATTCTGTATAAAGGATAAAACTGTCATTTATGCGGATGATATCTCTGTTGTAATGCCCTGCAAATCTAGCAACGAACTGCAAGAAAAGCTATAATACAATATGGGCGAGATAATTAAATGGTTGAACGAGCATAATTTGGAAATTAACTTTAAAAAAACTAAATTGATACAATTTAAACCTAGACAGAAAAAACCTATTGAAACTAAACCTATCGTCCAAAACAGTAAATTAGATTTTGTTACCTCTTGCACATTACTAGGAATAGAAATAGATTGTAATATAAATTGGAAGCCACATATTGATAGAGTAGTATCCAAGCTATCTAGATTCACTTATGCCCTCTACGAGTTAAAGAAAATTACAGTTAATATCATCAAAAAGCGCTTATTATGCTTACGCAAACTCATGGCTAAGTTACGGAATTATCTTATGGGGTAATAGTACCGACATAAATAAACTATTTGTATTACAAAAGCGATGTATACGTATATTGGTGAATATTACAGACATGGAAAGCTGTAGACCACATTTCATAAAACTAAAGATACTTACTCTTCCATGTATATATATATTTGAAATTAGTAAAATGGTGCGCAAAAATAGACATTTATATAAACATATTAGTGATACATATTTTTCAAACACGTAATTTAAGAAATAGAAATAAATTGGCAATACCGTTTACTAAATTACATCTGGTAAGCTCAGGAACATACCATATGTCTGTTAAAATATATAATAAAATACCGAATCATATAAAAAATATTGAAAAAGATTGTACATTTAATAATAATTTAAAACAATTTCTTATAGATAAGTGTTATTATGATTTGAAGGAGTTCTTAAATGATAAATTTTAATGATACCTAATAATCTGTTTTATTTTTTGTGTGTGTATGACATTATAAATTTTGTATATGACGTTATAATTAATGATGTTTGACTAATTGATTTGATTTTTTATGACGTAAATTTGTTGACCTAAACCGAAATTATTAAACTAAATTATAATGAATATTATGTGAATGGATTATTACTTTGAATGTTATTGTTACTTGTTTTATTTATTTTTTGATTTGATTGACATACATCTCTTGACCTAACCCTAAATGTATTTTATAATTGCTTTAAGTATAATATGAATTGATTTTAAAATTATATTCTTTTTTATTAACTTATTTAAA